CCGACCTGCATAAGTGTGCGAACGTTAAAGGCAGCCAGTTTGAATGGTGCGCGTGGTTTCAGAAAGACTGCTTCAGTACTCTTATTCGATGGTAACATACAATTTTCAAACCAGGCAGTGACTCGAGAACGTTTAGATAAAGCTGAATTTTTACCATGGCGAGCTGCTGTCTGAGTCGAAACGGATACAAAAAGTAGAAATAGGAGATAGTGAGTAAATGACGTAGTAAATAATAATAATAATAATAATAGTATTAGTCATTTCAATGTTAGTCAGAGAAGAACGAATATTTTCCGTAAGCGAATATTTCATCATGTTTTGGTGTGTGGGCTGAGATACTGCCCGGGTGCCCAAACCGAAGCAGGTGGTTTTCTTAGGGGGCCACACCCCGAGCCTTTGACCTAAAGGTCTAGTCCACAAGGCAGTGGAGCATCGTGAGGAGATGCAGTCCCATGGAAGCCGGTGACCAAAAGTTGGTTCATACGCCATTTGTTCCTTCAGGATACTGGAGCCCATGTGCACCATAGAATTGGGATCCGGTTATAGCGCCAGACGTTCGCTTTTCGTCCTCTCATTTTCGTAATCAACACCCCCGCCACGAGAAGGCAGTGAGTAGGACTTCCCTGGCAGAGGCTGTATACGCGTGGCCGTGTGAGAGTATTTCGAGAGGGAGGGCGAACCCTCCCCGCTCTCGGCCATACCAGGGCATTTGGGGGCACCCAAAAGGTTTGCTGGAAGGATGTTTCACATCGCCAAGTTGCATGTAATTTTCACAACCAAATTTACATAACAAGTTGAAGATGCCACAGGTATTCGGAGTTTGACAACGCTTTAACCAGTAACACCTTCTAGTATGAAGCGTACCCACCAAGTGAAATCAAAAGACAGAAGCGAGGAGATCGAAGATATATTTAATAAGCTATCAGTATATCGAGAATCGTTTGAACTAATCTGGCTAGCGATTGCGGCAGATGTTGAGCACGGCGTTCCCACACGTGATCTAGTGCGGATGCTTGACCGAGCGCCTTCAGCTAGATGAGTCCACTAAAACTGTGGTCAGTATCCAACATCGAAAACTTACAGAGCTATTTATTTTGGAGATTTATTTACCGCTACAAAGTCAAGTGCAAGGCCAGTGAAATGCCACTGAGCCCCAGCCAGATCATCCGGCAGTTGAGTCACTGAATATCGAGCAGATCATCGATCTATGTCAATGTCACAGACAAACGACGCTCATCAGTTGATCGCATGCCATGGACTGGCTCATGAGTTGGTGGTTCCACTATTTTCTCTGTACGCATTCTCACTAATACGTCTCCGTGATAATATCCTTTGTGATACACGGTCTTCAAAGCAGACATAATATTTTGGTACGCCGAAGTGGTAATTCATATTGGATACTGACCACGAGGTGTGACTTCGAAGTTATCTAATCCCTGCGGTACTCAGAGGGATTTGTCCCTGCGTGTTCGTGAACATATATCAGCATGACTGGAAAAATAAGTTGTTAAATCGACTGACAGTGACATTATTTCTCACTTGGTAGATAGTAAGTATCATAGTAAAATAGACCAAATTTTCTCCATTTTGCATCAAGTTCCAACAATAGTCCTCAAGAGGGGAATATAACGGCCACTGTACATAGCTGAAACTATCCAGATCAACTCCAGAAGACAGAACTTTTGTATCCAGCCTATAATTTTTACCTTGGTTCGCAACTGAATCACAAGATACTCAGACTGGATATTATAAAACTCTTATTGCTCCTCTCAGTTTATTTTATGTTTATATATTTCTTAACCTATACATTCATCTTCCCCAGTTCACATGAACTCCTTTTATTTTAATTACCTTGATAGCACCTCAATTACTACATACTGTATTCACACAGCGTTATTATCACGTCGATTAACAAATTCCTCTACTATGCATTTTATTCACACGATTTGTACTTAATTATTATATGACCATTATATTGATTATAAATTGACAGCTTACAACAAAATATTTTTGCCCCTGTTCGATGAACTTTCTTATTCACACATAACACATTTTTGAAGTATTTACGTCGGAACAGATTCTAACCTTCACTTCTTAAGCATATAACATTGTTAAATTTTCTAACACATGATTTCTTTTGGCCTTTGTAAGACATCACGATATTTATGGACTTGTAACCGTAAAGACTGATAATGACGTTATTGACAACAATTGTTCTCCTCAATATTCTTTGCTTTGGAATATTCTGTGAGGATTTTCAAACTACTAAAAGCCATATACTTCAAAGCTTTTAAACATATTGGACTAGAATTAGAGTTTATTTAAAAGCTTACACTACACTGACTGTGATGTAAGATTTATAGACGTAGTTGAGCAGGACTTACTTTTAGGTAGAAGCTATTTGTCAGCTGCCATTCTTCGAACATGTGTCCTAGTCAGATGACCTGAGGGGTTAGGTGCTTAGTCAGTAATGTCCCCATATAATAAATGGAAGTATTCGAATTGATGTACTAATTAGGAATTACCAAAACAGTGTATTTCAGGCAGATAGAACTAAGTGAGTACAGATGGACGTATTTTATTTGGTTTTCAGTTGCAAAAGAAGGATTAGTTCGGACAAATACCACACCCATCGATGAATCGCGGTATATACTCATGTAGCCCCCAGAATTATTTAAAAGTCGTTACGGATACACAATCCTTGCTAACACTGTTGTACTTTATTGAGGATTCTAAATCCAGTTAAATCAAGAGTCGAGGAAAGTGTGTGAGTATATATTTGGAAAGTGTTTTATAAACTAAATGACCGGTCTTCCTAGGCGATGCACCACACAATGTATCCAAATTTAATACGGTGTAGATGCTTGAAGGGGCATTTACAGCTTGGAATGTATCCAGTGAATCTATTGAGGTCAGGATCAATATGAAAGAACTACGAGAATATATATACACTGAGTTATATTTTCCGACAAGCTGAATTATTCCATCAAGTCTCTAATATCATTATTCAGATTGGAGCTATATTCCGGGGAGAAGAGATTAGTAACATTGAATGTATTATATTTAATCGAGACTAAAGAAAGGATGAATGTAGGGACTTACTAATAAACTATGATCTTTAAATATATATTTTTTTCTTATCACGAGCTTTCGTTTATCCCACAAACTATTCTAAATTTGTTTCTGACTTGTTATTAACAATCCAATTCTACACAACCACTTCTGCAAGATCACGTATAATTTCTATTTTCCATTTCAAGGTGTGATGTGATCGGGCATGTCCGTGTAACAAGTAGGTATGCTTGAAGTATAATAATCGTACAGTGGAGGGTGATTACCATGTTCTGAACTTAACGGACAAGGCTAGGCGAGAAGCTACTGTACCAAGGACCAATAAGAGCTTCGCGTTGACTCAAGGACGCTGGTGAAAAATTGGGCCATGATTAGTGCTTTTGTTACGTAATACTAGACAGGGATATAAAACATAATAGAAATTACTTTTCAGAACACCCACTTACTCAAGCTCTAAGTATATCTCGATCGGGTGATAACCACACCTTCAAGTACTTACGCCGGTTACCCCCGTGTCTGCCTTCCATTTCCGATGCAATGTGTTCCTTTATATTCCGAACAAGAATCCCAGTTAGCGCTTGTCTCGTGATGCAGTTTGGTGATTTCGATAATGTATGTCCTATTCATCTCCAAATTTTTTTTCAGATGAGGGCTCGTATGTTGCCTCCCATAGTAGGTTGTTCCTGGTGGTATCCGGTCAACGGGTATTCAATATACTCGTAATTTTCGATGATGATGGTTGTAATAGCGTGATCCGTGGTATCTCAATTTTGTCTGTTTACAACGATCCTTACGGAATCCAACCTGTTGATATCGAAGTTTGGTGTCGGCCGAATCTTTTATCTAGTTTAGAAACACTCAGTCGAAAAAGTTTCCTAGTACCGATAGTAATGTGATTTCTCTGTGGCTCTCGCATTTACTCAGATCTCCTCTCTTTGGTATCGTGATGAGTTGTCCTTCTTTCCAGTAGGTCGGCACTTGTTCTTTCTCCTAAATCTTTCTGAATACAACGTCGACCATCTTTGCAGTTTCTTCTATGTTTGTACTCATTGTTGCTTCCCCAATCCTGATTTGTATGATGACCATACTGATTCCTTCAGTTGTTTGTGGAGCAACATCTATAGGAAGGTCCGTAGGTGCTGCTTCGATGTTTTGTGGGTTTAGTGAAGCTGGCTCGTGCAGAGGTTCTTCAAAGCGTTCTCTCCACCTGTTCCTCTGTTCTCGAATATCAGTGATTGGCTTTCCTTGTTTGTCCTTGACCAGTCTCTCTGGTTTACTGTAATTTCCTACCAGTTTCTTTGATGTGTCATATTTCCTTTTCTTACAGATTTTTCCGCTGTCGGTGCTAACTCTTCCAAGCAGTTCTGCTTGTCGGCTCTAGTGCTCCTCTTCACTTGCTTGTTCGGCTATTTTTACTTGCTGTCTTCTTGTACTTTATTTCTTGAATCTTGTACGTCTTGGAACCAGTTAACATGAATTGGTTGAATTTATCATTATCTCGAAGGGAATGTGTATTGAAACTTTGTAATACTGTTTTTCTTTTCAGTTTTCCATTGCTTCTTTAGCTTCAGTTTCGTCTTAGCAACTACCAGACGGTAATTTGAGGCTATATCAACTATTCCCTTTCTTCTGATGTCTTTCATGAACTTTATGGACACTATTGAGCACCGGCAAACATGATTATTCAAATCATTAGAAAAGTCATCTCTTTAGAGAGCTAGAAAGAAGAATAAAACAATCCTCTATTATATTCAATTACTTTGAACACTTGCTCAATAGTTACCGAATTGGAATAAAAATATAAATAAGCTTAAATGTACCTACAAATTGTGACGTGTTTCAAACTTCAATCTACGACAGAATAAAATGTCGTGATTATTATTATTATAAGTATAGTGAAATATTGTTTAAATGAATGAAATCCATTGTTCTACACTGAAAAGTATATTGAATACATTGTATTTAAATACATTATTTCAAGTCTAACAAATAATTTAACGAGAAAAATATTTTAGAATGGTAACTAAAATGCAATTTAATCAATGAATACATTCCTATAAAATTTATTTTCATCTTACAGATATAGAATTTCATTCGAACATTTATGTATATTTTTGTTTGTTTATTTAAGTGAATTATAAACCTTTATTATAATAAACAACTGAAGGTAATCGATCAGATCGAATTTGTTTAATATGTGCTTGAACATCAGGTTCCAGTTTATGAAATGGAATTGAACTGATTTGTGGGAATACAGCACAGCATAAAGGTGTTACAAGTGATAACCTATAAAAAGTGATAGGATATTATTTGAAGAAGAATAAGAAAAAAAAGATGTCGTCAATTATGTTGTTTATACAATTATAATTGAATTTTTTATGTACAATGAAAAAAAAGTCCGATTACATTAACATATGGTATGTTCGCCCGAGGTTTTCACTAACTTATTTCATATGTTTACATATTGTATTTTATGAAATCTATTTTCGATTTCATTGTAGTACCTTTTTTTCTTTAATGAGACATTTATAATTATTTCAATAGTTGAGATCATGAGTCAATTGAAGCTAGATCACCATGGGAAACCTGGAAGCACTGGACGGCCGTTTCATCCTATTATGCGACTCCTTAGCAGTAAATTTGTTAAAATCAACTAATTAGAAGATAGAAAGTAAGATAAGTTTAAAACGTTTACACATTTGGAAAAAATGCCGACTACAACACCTGTGAATCAACTTACATTAAACCGACTAAGCCAATTTGTATTGGAGCTCCCAACCAAGGATAACGAATAAGCAATTTTCTTTTTTCCAATGATTGCATCACAAAAGGCAAAATTGCTGAGGTAAGCAGATATAAAAGAAAAAAATGTAAAAATGTCAGTTTTTGTTAATTAAGTAATTAAAATTGATTTATGTTAGTCGTTTATTTTCAAATATTTGTGTAAAAACTCGAACAACGTGTACATAAAGCCCCCAGATACCCTGGTACGGGTGAGGGTGGGGAGAGTCAGCTCACCCTCTCGAAACGCTCACACATGACCACGCGTAAACAGCTACAGCCAAGAAAGTCCTACTCACTGCCTTTTCGTGGCGGAGGTGTTTACGAAATTGAGAGGACGAAAAGAGAATGTCCGGAGTTTTAACCGGGTTGGTGGATATTGAGGATCCATCTGAGGGAATCGGTAGACATTGATTTCAAACCACTGGTGCACACGGGCTCCAGGATCCTGAGGGAAAAAATAGCATGTGCACAAATCGTTGATCACCGGCTACCATGGGACTGCATCTCCTGACGTTGCTCCGTTGCCCTGTTGATCAGACCTTTGTGTCGGAGGCTCCCGGTGTGGCCCCCTGAGAAAACCACCCGCTTCGGTCCGAGCATCCAGGCAATATCACAACCCATACACAAATGAAGTGACTTGCGTGGCGCATATGTATTCGGTGCCTCTTTGTACAAATATTTGTGTTCAAATAAATAAATAATGAAAATACAGTATTTCTAGTAATAAGTTAATTTAAACCGTTAATATTTCTAATTCGTTTATGTGTGATGAATTAATTTCTTTAATTCTCACAAGTATACTACCAGTGTCAAAGAAAGTTTTGAATTACAGACGTTTACAGTATCAGCAAGGGGAAAATATAAACTCTTATTAATAACTTTTAATGCATTAAATAAGCTAGTGGTTATTTGGAACTATTAACTTGTTGGATAACAACATTGACATTTGAAGCGATGAGTACGGCGTTTAAGACTCAATGAGAGCATTGACAATAGGTAAAAATAGCTGACGAACCAAATGTGGATCTCGGACCTCACTGATAGCCACAATGCAATTATGTTCGAAAAATAATAGGTACTTGTTTCCACAATTTGTTACTTGCGATTTTTGGATTCCAGTATACACTCAGATGTCGTTAATATTTCCATGAAGTTCGATTTTGACTTTCATAATCAATGCGTTTACTAGAGTATTTCATCGCATAAGTATTAAGTATTGGATAATCTCTTAGAAATTATTGGATTCATATGATTTAAAAATTTTTTTCAGTCTAAATAATAATTCTAGCTCTAAACCAATATTGCTATTAAATATTTATTAAGATGTGGTGTTTGCTGAACGATTAGTTCGTTACTGACAGGATACCAAGAACATTATAACATTAAACCATGTAGAGTAGTAACTTCATGATTAAAGCACTTGGTTTTCAACCACCGAGTTACACTTTCGAAAACCGCCCCACTCACTTTGGTGCGAACAACTGAATAACAATACTAGCTTCTATAAAAATAATGTGGCTGAAGAACCACTACATACATTTGCACTTAATAAGTTTCATTAATTAAAAAGTTAATTCAAGTTATTGAGGTAGAGTTGAAATACACCACCAAACGGCCTTAAAATCTTAAGCTATTAGGCAGATTAGGAGACAGTAAATACAAATGAATGAGTTATTTTATGATAGGACTGGGATTTGGATTATGGAGTTAAGAGTCCTTGCATCCTAGCCGATGTCGATTCATCACGAAAACCTTGACCCAACTCATAGTATCAATTCTTAACTCTATTTTGGTAAATACGCGGTGACCTTGAGATGATTTGCACGTTCCCTATTGACTCAGCGATATATTTTGACCTTAACAGTACTTAAGTATTCTTCTACTTGTGAAACCAAACTTTTTTTAATAAAAAGTAGTTGATAGCATACAATGAAGTTTGGGAAAAAACGATAACCGTTTAAACATCACCATATTTACTGAAAAACAAATATATCAGAAAAAGTTTTTTTTTTAAAATCACTTATCACCCAATTCTAAGGTTATGCACACAAATTAATGTTTCTAATGGGTAGCTAAGTTTGTGATAAATTCATCATTTAAAATTACACTATGAATTTAGGATTGTTGGTAAAATAGAATAAGATTGTTAATGCTGAAATGTTAACTTATTTAAGCCTATAGGCGAATAAAAAAGTTCTCAGACTAATAACCAAAGTAAATATTGATAACATAGGATGAGTGAAATAATACTGTAATCACAAATGAGATGAAATACTTAGCCAAAGATTACGTAATATATAGGACGGTATGGATTAAGCAAGAAATGATAAAATGAAATGAGAGCTGATTAAATTCTTGATAAAACACATTCACACAAAACAAAGCTATCATATTGTTAAGTGACTTACTCATTCCAGGGGAAGCCATTAATATTCGTGATAAAACCACTTGACTAACAGCTCTACGTCCTACAACAGTTGATTTACCCAATTTTTCACCATTTTCATCTAATATAGGTGTACCTTCAGTTAGTTCTGCACTTCTCATACATGGAATATTAATACAATTAGCTGCAGAGACTGCAATAAATGGTACGAATCGACCAATTATAGGAGGGAATTTCTAAAATTAAAAGAGAAAGCAAATAAAAAGAATTTAGAAGTTAAATATTGTTCACTGTTCATTCAGTATAACTTATCACTTACAACTAATTACACTGGTGTCTGATGAGCAAATGACTTGGAAGTTCGGTGACAAGATAACACATCCACCGTTTAATTAATCGATAAGACGAAAACATACAAGTATATGTATATATATAACTCAGAGATAAACAATATAGGACTATTTCATTTGTGAAATCAAATATACACTTTTACGACAGAATTTTAGATAAACCGTGATTAACACTGGAAATCTATTTGAAAATCAAAGGAAAAAGAAACAAACAAATAACCAAATACTATTATAAAATTAGTAGTGGGTAAAAGTACAGAATAGGGACGACCCAATCAAAATTGAGAACGTAACTTCCAGGTTTCGACGTGAAATTCAAATACAAAGTATGCAACGCATTCGAAACCTCACACCATCAATTAGTTTTGATTATCAGATTGTCTTAATTGATTGTTATAAGTTATTTTCATTACTGGATGTAGGTACATAGTATGTGTTTACTAAATCGACGGTTTACTTTTCTTCTTATTCTTATAGAAACACATACGTATGGTGCTCAAAATGTTCAAAATACTTACTTACACCTATTACTCCTAATGGAGCATAGGCCGCCGACCAGCATTCTCCAACACACTCTGTCCTGGACCTTCCTTTTCAGTTCTGCCCAGTTTGTGTTCATTTTTCTCGTGTCTGTCTCCATTTTTCGGCGTAATATGTCCTTTGGTCTTCCTTTTTTCCTTTGGCCTTGAGGATTCCATATGAGGGCTTGTCTTATGACACAGTTGGGTGCTTCGCTCAATATTTATCCTATTCACTTCCAATGCTTCTTTCTGATTTCTTCCTCCACTGAGATCTGGTTTGTTCTCTCCCATATTAGGTTGTTGATGATCGTGTCTGGTCAACGGATCCGAAGTATTTTGAGTAGACAGCTGTTAAAAAACACTTGTATTTTCTGGATAACGGTTTTTGTAGTTCTCCAAGTTTTCGCTCCATACAGTAGAATTGTCTTCACATTTGTATTGAAAATTCTGACCTTGGTATTGATTGCCAATTGTTTTGAGTTCCATATGTTCTTCAGTTTTAAATATGCTGCCCTCGCTTTGTCGATCCGCGCCTTCACATCTGCATCAGATTCACCGTGTTCATCAATGATGCTGCCCAGATATCTAAAGGTTTTACATCTTTCAAATCTTCTCCGTCAAGTGTGATTGGATTGTTGCATGCTGTGTTGTATCGGAGAATCTTGCTTTTCCCTTTGTGTATGTTGAGACCTACTGCTGATGAGGCTGCTGCTTCACTGGTCGTCTATTCCTGCATTTGTTGTTGCGTTCGCGATAGAAGAGACAGATCATCTGCGCCAGATCTTACGCCTTCATGATCCAGTCGATCGCCAGGAGAAAGAGGAAAGTTGAGAGTAAGCAACGTTGCCTGGCGCCGGTCTTTACCTCAAACGAGTCTGTCAACTGTCGTTCATACAGTTTAATCCATCATAAGTATTCCATATGATTTTGACTAGCTTCTCAGGTATGCCGTAGTGAAAATATCCAAAATGAAAGAGAAAATTCTTTTGTCATCCATGGAGAAAACTGATGATCTTAAACTTATTAAATGGTTAATTCTGTTTCTGTGAATTGTATATCATATAGAGAATTATAAACTTATATTTTAGAGACGAAGCAATCAAGGTAACTTACATATTTTTTAGATTTGAAATCAAATGACTATCCACACAACTATTCATCAATATAACTACAAAATATCCTCCCATTATAACCCCAACTTCTAATTTTGACCGTTATCGGTTCTCATACGTTTATATTACTTAAATCTTGATTTGTTAAAAAGAAAAACTGACATTACTGTCTTATGATTTTCATTAAATCATAGAATAAACGAATATCAAAAGTTATAACTAAGATTATTGTAATTTCAATGGTTAGGATCATGAGTCAGTTGAAGCTAGACCACCATGGTAAACCTGGAAGCACTGGGAGGCCATTTCGTCATATTGTGGGACTCCTCAGCAGTGCGCATCCACGACCTCGCTCCCTGAGAGATTATTATAATTAATGATTTGTAAACAAAAGGCTAATTCATAAACAGTATTGAATTTTTAGTTCATGTAAGCAATAGATAATTGAAAGTGGAACATAATCATAATGTTTTTTTAAATCATTTCATATGAACAATCAAATAATAATGATGATGACGACAAAATTAATTAATCAATATAGTCATACCCTATTTACTAAATAGAATTAGAACAGTACATCTATGGGTCGTACAACGATATTAATAATAATAATAATAATAATAATAATAATAATAATAATAATAATAATAATAATAATAAAGGTTTATTCAAATATTTATACACTCATTTTGATTACCTATTAAGACTCATGTATGTGTACTTGTTCATTTGTTTGTATATAACAAGTGAAGTAAATGTTTCATTATAGAATGAATGAATTATTAACAGACAATGTGACAATATAAGTGAAGATAAAATTTTTAAAAAAATTATCTATTATGACTAAGATAGAGAATCATTTTAATCATTGTGACCAAGAACGGTGAAAGCCATAATATAATGAAACTGCTCAGTTGTTCTAACCGAAGTAGATAGAGCTGAGTTTGAACGGGAGACTCAATGGCTGAAAGTCGAACACCTTAACCATTAAGCTTTATTGGAAGTCGTTGCTTGTAGTCACCTTTTATTGAATGATAACTATAAATATTCTTTATTCCAGTCACAATGGATAAATAATAATATTGCCTTTGTATGTACCTTCTCAAAGTTTGTTAATAATTTATCCATTCTGTTATTTTCATAACAAGACATATACTTTACCAATCATATACAAATAAACACATAGATACAAAATATAGTTATATAATCATACTTTCTAGATCCCGAGCAAAAAATGGCTACCTAAACATAAGAAGCATTGAAAATACATCGAATTCATAGTCACTAATGTCACTGTATGGTTACGTAAGGAAGTGAAATTATTTCTGTGTGTTTTTAAATTGGATAAACATATTAATCTGATGAAAATTGATAGGAATATAATCTATTTCAAACAATCTCATATGAATAAAGGAAGATCTTTAGAAAACATTGTTTAGATGAATGATTTATGACAATGGTACATATTGAATCTAGTTAAGAATACGCATAGAAGTAACGTCTGGAAACTAAAGAACCATCGGAAAAGAAATATGTGACTTCATAATGAATTAACGAGAAGATTGCTAATCACATATACTTTGATGATTCATTTCTGTTAGAATATGGTTTATACTTTAAAAAATGACAGTTCTCAATATTGACTTAAAACATTATAATTTTACGTAATTATTCACAAGACTATTACAATCCTACTCATATTGATAATACAGTTAAAACGTTTTAATAGTTAAGATCATGAGTCAGTTGAAGCTAGACCACCATGGAAAACCTGGAAGCACTGGGCGGCCGTTTCATCTTATTGTGGGACTCCTCAACAGTGCACATCCATGATCCCGCCCCACGAGATTCAAACTCAGGACCTGTCAGTCTCGCACTAGAGCGCTTAACCACTAGACCACTGAACTGGCATCCAACGATGTAAATGTCTAACATCAACTAATCCACGAAATTGGGCAACACATTCACCATTGTCTTCAGTGAGTTACTATACCATAACAGACCTGTTTGAACTTCACTGGTCACTGCTTCTTATTAGAACTCCAGGAAATACCTCTTGAACCCAGTTGCTACTCAGCATATGTTTTAGCCGTCGTAATTAATAATTACGTGTACAAATAATGACATAAGAGCAAATCTAATCACATATAATTAAATAGAATAATATCCACTAGTTGATAAATATATAAGTGAAACCAGTCGAAAACAAAAAATTATTTATTAAAATAACAGAAAGAAATAATTTACTTGAATTTGTTTATTGATAGTTAATGCAGTGCCTAATGCTCCACCAGTAGCCAAAACATATGATATACCAAGACGCCTGTTGGAACAGAAAAAAAGTGAACAACTTGAAGGATATATGCATATAGATTGTTTTAATGTGAAGATGAGTGAATTAAAATTAGTAATCTATTGGCTACCAACATCACTAAATGTTGGAGAAGATTTAGTACAAAAGGCGGATGATTTTCGTCGACTTGCGTTTTTTAAGCTCGTGATATTGCTTGTCTCTTGTACTTTTTGTTTGATTTGTTGAAGGGAGTTGTTATGATTGATAAATGTTCCAAAGTGAACATTCTTTCCAGATTTTTCCAGGTCAGATAGGTAATTCGATTCCATTAAAACTAAGATATCCATAATGTTATCGAGTGACAAGTGGCATAGAACGTAGTACTGATGAACTCTTACCATTTAGGAATTGGTATATATCTATCTTCATGGAGTTTCGTCCTCTGAGCTGGATGCTTTAACAGTACAGTTTTCATTAGCATGAACTTCAGGTGGAAGTGACGTATTCGAATTTGTCCCCATATGACTTTGATCTAATTCTCGATTTTATATCCGTACATACTTTCCCACTTGAACGTGCGTCCATAATTGTCTAGGTGCATTAGTACAGAATGGTGTTTAACAGTTAATCGATGCCATGTAGAAGAAGATGAAGAAAACTGCCACTTCATCCAATGTATTCTTTTTTGCAGTTAGAAGTTTGTCTTATGGATGATCTTTGGCTTTTCTCCATTTTTCATTCTATCCTTTGATTTTTATAAAATCGATTGAAGTGAATTTGTTAGTTTATGTACTATATCTATTTTAAACGGCCTCAATAATCTAATTATAACTTCTGATATATACTCTACATATGGTAACAAGAGGCAGATGATCAAAATAAATATGCACACAACGATAGGCTAAAGGTTAACGACAGCCAATCAAGATCAAGATCGTTAGTTATATGTCGAGAAATCTGAATAGCTCATTTGTACTTGAAGTTTGTGCTGATGATGTTATTCAATAAAACAATGAAACCTCCACGGTTAAACCATCCAGCTCAAAGAATGAAACCATCAAAATCATGCAATTCAGCTATATATATATATATATATATATAGTGATTCCCTTCAAAAGGTTCTGAGAATGTATAGCGAATTCATTGTATATTTTATAGATGTTGGCGGTCATGATTTCTTTAGTAACTTTTAACGGTACAACGATAATTTGTGATAATCTTTAACTAAACAATCCAAATTCATATACATATTCAACTCCGAGCTTAACTGTAGGCGTGTACAGAATCAAACATTTTCGAGCGTTTTTCCTTCTATTTATAAAACGAGCGCTACATATAAGAGCATAATTTTCCCTGAGGATTTCATTTTAGGCTCTGAATTCCACTTTGATTGCTTTTTTTATCGGGAAAGTTGAGTTATGCTACAATGACGTAATCATAGAACATACATATACGTAGCTTCAAAGGATTGGAATGAAATCCTCAGTAAGAAAAAAAAGTATGCATTTAAAATGCAGAATTCATTCACTAAATAAAAGGAAGGTACTCGAAAATGATAGACATTGCAATCTTATTGAATATTGAAAAAAAGGATAATCTCATATCAAAGTCTAAGTAAACGATGATACATTTTTTAAGCAAAGATGGATAGTGGCTAACAGTGGAATTCAGGACGCGCGTTTCATCCTATTTGAGACTCGTCAGCTGAATGTATCAGAATCTCAGAGTTGATGTTCACTCTGGGACTCGAACCCAGTACCGTTCGCTTCAAACGCCATCGCTTTATCCACTCAGCTACTGAGTCCTGATAGCCACTTGCTTATAAAAGCTTGTGAATTAAGCTAAGGCAATATCAAGGTATACGCACAGTATGCACATATGCCAATAACAGACTGATCAATTGCAGTCTTAAAAACTCAACGGGAAGATAAAAGCAAAACAATACCAAGTGAATGATACATTTTATACACGATTTTTGCTGTAATCGAAAAAAAGATGTATTTACAATCTTACACACAAGTCTTTTATTAATAGACAGTATTTCATTGTAAATAACTTGCAAACTAACGTTTTTTTGTTTATCTATAAAATATTGGAAAGATTAGTAACAAATAAGCTTAAATGTAATTTTTGAATATTCGTTAATACAGTTTAATTTGACTTCAAGTATAACGGTAACATCTTTTTAGTCGTTTCATTCAGCATAACTTTCTTCTTATATACATCAATAAATCAAAGTAAGAATAAACATACAATACTATGTCATGGTGATACTAAGAAAGCGTAATATATTTAAACGAATTTATGACACAAAACAATCAGTATAAAAGTTAGTATTTTTATGTAAAGTTAACTACGTAGAAAAGAGAGGATGAATAGGATCGTATACTGTATACAAATGCTTTTCATAATAGTTTATAGATTTTTCTACAGTTTGTATGGGTTTTCTGCACTTACAATTGCTCTGATCTTTTAAATACATGTAAATAGTAATCTAATCAGCTGAAAAGTTTCTGAGCGTTTGTATTTAGTTGGTGGAGAAAAGCATCCAAAACATCCTGGTATTGTTGATCAGTGCTGCCAAAAGACTGTGTTTTATCATTGTCTTCACCAAACAGGACTATATCATCTGCTAGAACTAATTAATAGTTATACAATGAAAATGTAAACAGTAACTTCATGTAAGACTGTTCCAAAAGTTTAACTTTGCTCATTATTTATTTCAGTATAGCAGATCATACATAATCTATCTATCGATGTAGATTTATATGTTGCTAATAAGTCAATAATCTAGTGAAGTACACTTGACATTATCCTGTTTAATGTTGATTAAGATCTGATCAAACAAAATTTAGGGGTATTTACAATAAGATGACGAAGCGTCTTTTGGTCTTTTAATTCACATAAATCATTTACTTTTTGGATGATTTATAACAGATCTGTTGTTCGTATTGTTCGTAATCTTGTCCATCGTTAGCATAATTCCAATTATCGAGAAAACTAATGACGAATAACTACCTTCATTTTAATTAGCTACCTTAAGGGTCTGATGGGGACAGTACGCTTTAATAATTTTACTTAAAATCAATACAGCTGGTCATAATATTGATACGATTACATATCATATGCGTTAAAATGTCAGTGTAATTTGTTTGTTATTTAAAACTTTAAACAATCCAGTAATCGAGATCACTTTTAAGAACTAAATATGATAAACTTAGAAAACCAGTAATGCTAGTAATAAGTATAAAAGAATTGACTGTATAATTATACAGTAATACTAGACCAATTACTTTCAGTAAAGTATAACTATGAATAAATTTAGGGAAGTGGCTAATTACCTTTTGTGAGGAGAGATTTAGAAAAGAAATGGAAGAATATGATATAAATTTGATAAATATTTTCCAAAAAATTGATTTATTCATCAGTATACACCACTAGAATAAATGTCCGTTCAAAATTATCGGTCAATTATTAAATAGAAGAAGACCTGCCACATTTATTCAAGCCGCCACACAATATATATATATATATATATATATATATATATATATATATCAGCACAACAGAATGAGAAGAGACAAAGTAGAAGTAGCGACAGAACCAGTGGTAGTAGAAAACATTACGCCTTTAAGACAAAGCGTGAACGTATTCATGCTACTGTGATAGATTCCGGAACATGTCAACCAACGTCTTTGACTACTGGTTAGGTTAACCGCGCGGACCTCAAAGAAATACTTTGCAGCCACCAATACGTATCATTTCAACAGATTTTATGGACTAGTGGCTAGTATTGGTTTAGCCCTACCTTTAGCTCTCTTCTAATCTACTCTTATACTAGCAAACATCATGCATCAAAGAAGGAGTGATTGTGCGTGACACACGTATTAACTATTTCAGTAGATGAAGATTCACAATCTCAACCGATTTCCCGTTTTTGTTAAGTACCATATGCCTTATCTTTGTATTGCTCACACCATGGTCCTAAACTACACGGGCAATATTTCGTAGGTATCTATAATCAAATACTATGAATACTCGATATTTTTAAAAGCCATTTCACAAATATGAAAAACACTAGAATAAACTTTTGGGCAATATAATCAGGAGTATTATAGATCACACTAGTTAACTACATTCCTTACATTGAAAATGTTTGAATTCAAAACGGTGCTAATAGATGAATATTACGTGTTTGTGATTTACACGATAATCGTGATCAATAGTTCCAAATCCTAGGTAAAATGGCTAAAAAGCAGTAATAATGATACAGTTCTTTTTTTATCCTCATCACCACCTTCAGTTTTAATTGTAATGTGTTCGGGCACAGCGAAGATAATTCAACTGGTGTCACCATCATGATACACCGACATCGGGGGATTGGATAAGTATTAAGAGCATCATCCCAGTGGCTATCTTGTTGTAACTTCCGTTTAATTTCTTTAGAATAGTGAGAATAACTTCTTTAAATGCAAAAATTCTTTCCAGTTGTATTTTTCTTAACTGAACTATTTCTCACATTATTACTAATAATATTATTATGTTACTCGTTTACAATAAGTCAATTTTGTTCTTTTTTTATTATACTTACCCTCCTTTCTCTAGCTTTTCACAATCACATCTCTATTGTGTGGCACATGTATATTCTGGTGCACCCTTGTACAAATGTTTGTGTTCCAATAGATAGACAAATAAATTATAGTACATTTCTTTTTTCGGTAACATACTCTTTGTGTTAGTTTTGTTCGAATTATCAGTGATATATATATATATATATATATATATATATATATATATATATATATATATATATATATATATGAGTAATTTGACCTGATTTATTTTTGTCCTACGTTTTGTATTGATTATGACTGACTAACAAGGTTAATTGCATGTATGGATACACATTTGATGTAACCGTTTATCATTTTATTTATTCACAGTTGTACCTATATTAGTAGAACACTTACTGTTCGCTAAAGGTAGGTAGCGATTGACTTTGAGGACAATGAGGAGTGAGTAAATTATTA